CCCAAAGGAGGCCCCGAGAAGCCCCAAATCGGCCCCCAAAATGCTTCGAACCTGCTTCCAGGAGGCCTCCGACAGGTTCAGAGGCTCCCGAGAAGCTACGTCAAACTCCCAGCGAGCGGCCGGACGATGCCCCCGTTCCAGTATTTGTATCCTTCAGCGCTCTCTGGCCTTCTTCCCCCTGCCCCCTTCCCTGCGACTTTCGTTGACTCAAGCTCGCCTCCTCTCCATTTCCTCTCTCTGCCTCTCTCTCTCTCTCTCTGTTTTTTTTTTGTTTTTTTTTTTTCTCTCTCTCTCTCTCTCCATCTCTCTTTCTCTCTCTCTCTCTCTCTCCTTCGCTCTCTGTCTGTCTGTCTCTCTCTCCCTCTCTTTCTCTCTTTCTCTCTCTTCCTTTCACATTCTGTGTCCTTGCGACCTTCTGCAGTCCCCGACGTCGCCACGGCTGGATCCGCTCGAGCGTGTCTTGTGATGTGCGGCGGTGCGAAGCCCGTCCCACTGATCAAGGCACAGGTACGAAATGATGGGTCCATCATTTCTTGCCTTCCCATGTGCGTTTTCCCAATCGATTCCTGGGCCCGAGGTCGCAAAAATTACGACGTCGGAGGTCTGGGGAGGCGGGAAGCACGACCCGGACCTCCGACGTCTTGGACAAATCACGACGGCCTCGCAGGTTCCCGGGACCGTCAGAAAACGAATCAGGATGAAAACGACTTGGGCTACAGGGCTATTGGGCTACAGGGCTATAGGGCTGTAGGGCTATAGGGCTATAGGGCTAGGGCCATAGGGTTATAGGGCTATGTGGGCTATTCGGCTATTGGCTATAGGGTTGTTGGGCTGTAGAGCTATGGGGCTATAGGGCTACAGGGCTATAGGATCAGAGGGCTATAGAGCTAAAGGGCTAGATTGATATAGGGATATAGGGCTATTGGGCTATAGTCCTATAGGGCTATACGGCTATAGGGCAATAGGGCTACAGGGCTATAGGGCGATAGGGCACCCCCAGGCACCCCGGCACCCGGGCACCGGGCACCCAGGCACCGAGGCACCGGGCACCCGGGCACCCGGGCACCCGGGCACCCGGCCCGGCCGCATGGGGCCGGAATCTTGCCGAACCTCATCGAACCTTTTAATCCGCCAGGACCCTTACAGAGGCAAGCTCTGATTGGGTACTAACCCATGGCAACCGCCGCTACCTTCGTCGCCGCGATCGCCGCCGTCTTCATCGCCGCCGTCGTCGACGTCCTCGGGTTCTGTTCGGGCACCCTCTGGCCATCTCGTGGGGCACGCTGGGGGATTATCAGAGGCATCCGTACGTATCCTGAGGGGCCCCGCGATTTCCCCCAGAGACTCTAACTACAGAAACTCCTTTCGTATTCCGGCCAGAAGCATCCAGAAACGATGTACATTAGCCCTGGCGCGGGGAATGATGGCGATGGTGATGTTCATGATGACGACGGTGACGATCCTAGCTAGAACCTAAGCGCGCGCGAAGCGCGCGCGTGGTTCTAGTGTAATGTATGAGGGATTTGGGCCTCGGGGGCGCGAATACACCGTAATTCAAGAAGGATTATCACGTCGGGAGCGCGAATATCATGTATTTTTACGTGTCCCACGGCCCCCTAGAAATTCAGACAACGCGATTCGGGCGTGGTAACTGGGTCCTTTTTGGTTCCCCCCCCTCGCGCGGACTTCAACAATTTACAGTAGGAAGCAGAAAGCAGGACTGTAACATTGGAACCAGGAAACTGGAACTGGTGCAGGGAGCAGGACACCTCCGCCATGCAGCCTGATGACCCCGCAAGGGGGCTGGCGGATTAGGATATTAGTTTCTTTGCACTAAGCTCGTGCCCACCCCCACCTCCCACCACCTCATCGAGTGGGACGTGTGGTCCGTCACGCCTCTCCTACAAGACCTCACCTCTCGCGGTGCTCGTGCGACTGGGCAGACGACATGCGGCGGGCTGCAGGAAAAACATATCCAATTCACAACAGCTACGTTATTCCCAGGTTGGGGCTCCGTTCCACATTTACAGTCCAAATCCATAGAAAGGAGGCCCTGCTTCATCAAGGCTAACCTTGCATCCCTGTTTTTTTTCTACCTATGCTGGGCCAAGTTTGGCCTCCGAGGAGCTCTACCAGGCCCCCCCTGTGAGGTCGAGTTTTCTCCTATAACGGTCGCCCGGGCCCCCCTTGCGGTCGAAACCGGCGCTGCTAAGGAGACAGAATTGCACAGAGACGCCTGCGAATGGCTTTGAACTCGGCCTCAAGCCCCTTCAAACTCCCAGACATGCCCAGAGCGATCTGCGCATCGGGCGAGAATCGCTGTGTCGACTCGTCCGCTAGCTCACCGAGCTGGAAGGGAGCCCGCTCCTCCAGACTGCTCTCGGCGAATCCAGTTTCGGTCGCAGGGCCTGGAGCCTCCACGACCTGGACGATGGTGCGGCTTCCCGGATTCTCTCGCACGAGGTTCTGCGGGCCCCCGATGCCCCTTGGGCCTCCAGCGGGCCGGCGCGCGCAGCTTCGACGGGCCTCCCTGGACGTGGGAGCTGCCTGCGCAGGTGGGAGGTTTCGTTTCGCGGCGGCGCGGCAGCCAGGCTCTCCCTGGCAGCGCAGAGCTCGCCTCTACAGTGCTGTTCTTCATACATGCTCCGGCTGCGAATCATGTCTTAAAAATGCAGGGGTTCAGTATTAAAACCAACGACGAGTTCATGCATAAATTCATTCCTAAATCAATCCTGCATGAAAAATCTTATATCTTATATAAGAATCCTAGGTATTAAAAACTGCCCTGTAGTGATGCCCTGCCGTGGCCCAGGGAGCAAGGCCTCGGAGCCTCCCCTCGGGCCGCGGCCCAGGCCGGCAGAAGCCACAGCCGGGAGTTTCGCCTCCGCCTGGGGCGGCCGGCACGTACCGCCCCACGCAGCCCCCGCCAGCCATGCCATGCCTTTTTCGGTGAGGTGCCCAACGTCAGGGGTGCAGAAAACAAGAATGTAAGAAGAAGAATAATAAGAAGAATAATAATAAGAAGAAGAAGGAGAAGGAAAAAGAAGACGAGGAAAGCAAGAAACATAAACATACACTTTTGGCGCTCCGGGCGGATTTCTTGGACCCGCGCTGGGACCCCCTTGGCGCCGCTTCTGGCGCGCTCCGCGCGCCAGGGACGGGGGGGGGTCCAGCGCAGATCCAAGAAATCCGCGCGGAGCGCCACAAGTCTATGTTTATGCCGTGTTTCTTTCTTTGAAGAAGACAGCGGCGGGCTCCAGGGAGGACAGGATAAGGAGGACATGAAGAAACCGCGGTCAGGCGGCGCCTCGTCAGCTTGGAGTTGGAGTCGGCATCCGCGCATACAAGTGTGTGGATAAACGTTCCCAAGGCGTTCCTTTTCCTGTGCAAGCTCCTCGGCACAGCCTGCACCCCGGCCCGCCCTCCGGCCGCCTGAGGCCCCGCCCGCTTGTGCTCTGTCTCCCCAAATAGAGCTGTGCGTAGCCCGCCTAGCTTTTAATCGGAAGAGGTTCGCTCCCGCCCGCAGACCAAAAAGGTGTGTGGATAAACGTTTGGAGTTGGTAGCTGCTCTGACTTCGACCATGCTGACGCGAAAGAGAAACAGGCTCCAGGTGAGGGGGGTCCGTCATATGGACCTGGCACCCGGGCCCACCCAGACGGGATGAGGCCTCTAAACCAGCAGCAGGGGTGCGCCGCAGCCCTTGCCAGCGCCTGCTCAATCACAAGTGCTGAGGACCTCTCGAAGATTGAGGACCTGGCGGACACGCCAGCGCCAGGCGGCCACGCCCAAGAGGAGGACAGACCTCTATCGCCGGCCGCCCTTGGCGGCAGGCTACCGACAATTGCTGAGGATTCAGAAACAGACTTGGAAGCACACGTCATGGACACGTGGCATGTAGAGCTCCTAGAGGAAACGGAACTACTCGAGACCCTCTCATGGGAGCTCCTGTGTTCGGTACCCACCGAAATGGCTACCGACAACCACGCGCTCGTGGCTGTGGCCAGCGAAGAGCAAGGACACTTGCGAAAAATAGGTTATGCTCGAAACCGCGACACCGACGCATCCTTGCTGGTACCTTGGACCACCGAATACGACGATGAACACATCAAATTGCTTCGTCCGGTACAGCATCCAGAACTGACGGGCGTCGCAGCGGAAAAGAAGGCAACGAATGCGGTACCCGACGCGTTCATCTGTTTACGCGGCGCCTTGGCGCATGCGTTGATAATTCAAGCGCGGCTGATGGTGCGCGCGTTTTTTTTTACAGCGTTCACAGGAACCCGCGAACTTCCAAGTACGAAAACTTAACGCTGCCACACGCAAACTTCAGCAGGGCCCCAAGAGACAGATGTGCCAGCTTATGACTCCGACAGGAGAAGTGGAACTTCATGGTGGCTCCAGATACCGTCGCCTTAATGGAGGCGAAGATGACGAAGCAAAGAGAAATGGCATCCGATTTACAGCGTGGACACGCGCCCAGTGGCATTGCAGTAGTACATCTGACCGATGCACACTGCAAGTGGCATGGTTTGCAGGTGCGTTCCAGCTACTCAGCTGAAGCACACCTACTCTTGAGAACTGCTACTCTACCATAGTAGCGCTACATGAGCTTAACGCTGGGCCCACCAATAGCTACCCAACTTAAAAACATTCTGGAGCCAGGTGGTCTCAGCAAGGCCATCCTTACTATAGACGCTGGGTCGGTCTTTAGTCCTTGTCAAGGAACGACTTGAAGAAACCGACCGAATGCGCCCCGATGGGACAAATCAGCTGGATAGGACAGATGATGGTCCGAGGTGTAGCTCACAGCGTACAGTGGTGTGATGCACGAGGTATGACCATTGATGGCCATGCCAAGGGGCGCATCGTTCGGGCGCTACCGCTGCAAGTGATAGGAGGCAATCAGTCCTTCGAGTACGAAGTAAAAAAGCACATGCCCCACCGAGGCAAAAAAAGACGCATCGCCAACATAGGGGCGCCCTCTTCAGGGCCAGCGGAGACCAATGAGGACGACAACTCAAACTCAGACATGTAGTTATCCTCGCCCGGACACGGGCACGCACGCCTACAGCGTGGCTATATTCGCCCGGCCACGGGCGTAGCTACTCATAGCTTCGCAGCTACCGTGGATGCCCAAACATGGGCATTACTCTCTCTCTCTCTCTCTTTCTCTCTCTCTCTGTCTCTCTCCCTCATTTATGAGGGGATCTGACCGCCTGGTCATATCCCTTCGCGCGCCGCGCGCTGTGGCGGCTGGCATTCGGTCAGTCGCCCCCTTTCCATCATTTACGGATGGTCGCGTGGTCTTGCCCGCGGCCATCCATGATTATCTGCGGCTGGCCGTGGCAATGCGCCATGGCCAGCCTTAGTGCTCTGCGCTGTTTTCTTTTACTTGCCTGCGCGTTGCGGGTGGCGTTGGAAAACGTGTATTCCCATCCTTCTACTTTACTCGACATGGCTAATTAGATCTAGGATCTAGCGTTCGGCCCCTCCACTCCCGACTTTAATCGAGGTTTCAGGAGAGGCTGTATAGCGAACGCGGTATCCGACGCTGTCTTGGCTCAAAACCGCGCTGTCCTATGTGCCAGGCGCGCACGACTGCGCACTTCAATTGGGATCATGGCAACGGACAAAGGCCACGTTCTTCTATTATCTATACCCCATCCCCATGTGTTTTCACTTACCTCTCGTCTTGCTTGCCATCAAGGGACGAGTTGTGGGATACTTCGATAGTTACGTCGCCGACGTTACCGCAAGAGCACGGCTCTCAGTTTTCACGGCTAATCCCGGGTATTTTTGTTTACTTAACAGCTCTTGCTGATAGGTTTCTAGTGGGCTCAAAAGAGAGCATCTTGACGCCCCAGGGGGGTCTGGGCGGGAACCGGACAAAGGATCCGGCTGATCCGGCAGCCCCCAGAAGTTTTAGGCATCCTGATGGACCAAAAAAATGTTTTAGGAATCCGTTCCCAGAACACCACTCCCAGGCCACATTTTGAATGCCCGGAGCCAACTGTAGGCCACTTCGTGTTCTTCGTGTTCCCAGAACACCACTCCCAGGCCACATTTTGAATGCCCGGGCCCAACTGTAGGCCACTTCGTGTTCTTCGTGCTCCCAGAACACCACTCCCAGGCCATATTTTGAATGCCCAGGGCCAACTGTGGGCCACTTCGTGATCTTCGTGTTCGCAGAACGCCATTCCCAGGCCACATTTTGAATGCCCGGAGCCAACTGTAGGCCACTTCGTGTTCTTCGTGCTCCCAGAACATGATTCCCAGGCCACATTTTGAATGCCTCGGCCCAACTGTAGGCCACTTCGTGTTCTTTGTTTTCCCAGATCGCAACTCCTGTAGCATACTTTGATTGCCCGGAGCCATATGTGGGCCACTTCGTGATCTTCGTGCTCCCACAAAACATGTCCTGTGCTATAGTTTGAATGCCCGAGCTGAGGCAGGCTGAAGCCGAGGCTGGCTGAGGCCGAAGCAGGCTGAGGCTGAGGCACGCCGAGGCAGGCTGAGGCTGAGGCTGAGGCAGGCTGAGGCTGAGGCAGGCTGAGGCTGAGGCTGACGCAGGCTGAGGCAGAGGCAGGCTGAGGCTGAGGCTGAGGCAGGCTGAGGCTGAGGCAGGCTGAGACTGAGGCTGAGGCAAGCTGAGGCTGAGGCTGAGGCTGAGGCAGGCTGAGGCTGAGAGGCCGACGCTGAGATTGAGGCTGAGGCAGGGTGAAGCTGAGGCCGAGGCAGGCTAAGGCTGAGGCCGAGGCAAGCCGAGGCAGGCTGAGGCTGAGGCTGAAGCTGAGGCAGGCTGAGGCTGAGGCTGAGGCTGTGGCTGAGGCTGAGGCAAGCTGCGGCTGAGGCAGGCTGAGGCTGAGGCTGATGCAGGCTGAGGCTGAGGCAGGCTGAGGCTGAGGCTGAGGCAGGCTGAGGCTGAGGCTGAGCCGAGGCAGGCTTAGGCTGAGGTCGAGGCAAGCCGAGGCAGGCTGAGGCTGAGGCTGATGCTGAGGCAGGCTGAGGCTGAGGCTGAGGCTGATGCTGACGCTGAGGCAGGCTGAGGCTGAGGCAGGCTGAGGCTGAGGCCGAGGCAGGCTCAGTTGGCTGAGGCAGGCTTAGGCTGAGGCAGGCTGAGGCTGAGGCTGAGGCTGAGGCTGAGGCTGATGCAGGCTGAGGCTGAGAGGCTGACGCTGAGGCTGAGGCAGGCTGAAGCTGAGGCTGAGGCCGAGGCAGGCTGAGGCTGAGGCTGAGGCAAGCCGAGGCAGGCTGAGGCTGAGGCTGAAGCTGAGGCAGGCTGAGGCTGAGGCTGAGGCAGTGGCTGAGGCTGAGGCAAGCTGCGGCTGAGGCAGGCTGAGGCTGAGGCTGATGCAGGCTGAGGCAGGCTGAGGCTGAGGCTGAGGCTGATGCAGGCTGAGGCTGAGGCTGAGGCTAAGGCAGGCTGAGAGGCTGAGGCTGAGGCAGGCTGAGGCTGAGGCTGAGGCCGAGGCAGTCTGAGGCTGAGGCTGAGGCAAGCCGAGGCAAGCTGAGGCTGAGGCTGAAGCTGAGGCAGGCTGAGGCTGAGGCTGTGGCTGAGGCTGAGGCAGGCTGAGGCTGAGGCAGGCTGAGGTTGAGGCTGATGCAGGCTGAGGCTGAGGCAGGCTGAGGCTGTGGCTGAGGCTGAGGCAGGCTGAGGCTGAGGCAGGCTGAGGTTGAGGCTGATGCAGGCTGAGGCTGAGGCAGGCTGAGGCTGAGGCTGAGGCAGGCTGAGGCTGAGGCTGAGGCCGAGGCAGGCTGAGGCTGAGGCCGAGGCAAGCCGAGGCAGGCTGAGGCTGAGGTTGAGGCTGAGGCTGAGGCAGGCTGAGGCTGAGGCCGAGGCAGGCGAATCCTTCGGAATCCTGAGGATTCCCTAGGAATCCTTAGGAATCCCTAGGGATCCCTAGGAATCAGGATTCCTAAGGTTTCCTAAGGATTCCGATTGATTCCTAAGGATGCCTAAGGATGCCCTAGGAATCCCTAGGAGTCCTTAGGATTCCATTGGATCCTAAGGCCGTTGCCACTGCGACTGTCATTGCGAATGCGACTGCGACTGCGAGAACAGCAGAATTCTACAACTTGATTCTCACCTGAATCTCAGGGGAATGCTTCCAGATATGCTTATACACATCACTGTTAGGTTGGGTTGCCGGGATAATCATTATTTAATCCAGACGGCCGCATTGGGGGAACACGTCTTCCAACCCACCACCATAACCATCAAGCTCAATTCCCCTTCTGTACCCCATATTATTCCATGCCCCTCCGTATTTCAGCACCGACTCCCTAGCGTTCATGGCCCACTGCGCGTGCACCAGTCTTCGCCCTCGGAAGACGTCAGCCGCGCCCATCCGCAGCCATTTGGGCGCAAGCCTGGCCAGGGCGTTTCTCAGTTCCGCACGGCGGCACGAGCATAGTCCGCAGGCATGCCTTCCTCCGCGGCAAACGGGGCGCCACGGAACGCGCCGCGACAGCCCCACGGCACAGGCCGGGCGCCGCGGGCGGGCGAGGGGCAAGGCCGCGCCTTCGAGCCGAGCCCGATCTTTCACAAGACGAGCCTGTGCAAGTTCTTCGCGGTGGGCGCGTGCTCCCGGGGCTCGCGGTGCAAGTTCGCCCACGGCTCCACGGACCTCGTGCAGGCCCCAGACTTCACGAAGACCCAGTACTGCCCCTCCGTCCTGTCGGGTGCCCGGTGCGAGGCCGGACGACGGTGCACCTTCGCGCACAGCCCAGGGGAGCTCCGGCCCTGGGCCGACGGCGACGGCCGCCGCGCCGGCGGCGCGGCAGCGCCCAGCGGCGCCTTGGCCGCCGCCGCGGCAGCGGCGCCCGTCACACGCAGGGGGCTCGTCCTTCAAGACCTTCGTGCTCAGGGCCCTCCTGGTGAAGCGGGCGAGGCGGCGAGGAGCTCCAAAGCGCCCGGCGTTCGGGCGCCGCCGGGGCCGCCCGTCGGGAACGGCCCCCCGCCGAGCTCCAGCGGCGGGCCGGCGGCGCCGGCGCCCGGCCCGCAGGACGCTCTCCCTGGGGTTCGCATAGAGCTCGTGGAGATTCTGCGCCACCGAATGGACCAGCAGCGGGCCTACAGCGAGGCGCGCGGGAGCGAGGGTTGCGCGCACTCGAGGCAGGCAACGACGGAGAGAGGCGGCCCCTCCGGGCAGGCCACGGCGGAGGGAGGCGGCGTTGCTTCCAGCGCGCAGTCGGGGCCGGCCACGCTGGGGGGGCGGAGCGGTTCCCAGTGGAGCGCCAGTGGAGCGTCCTCCAGTGGAGCGGGCGGCGCGACGGGGGGGCGAGGCAACTCTTCCAGTGGAGAGCGAAGAGGCGGCTCCCCCGACGCCGAGGACGGGCCAGGCCGCGTCGCGTGGAGCAGGCAGCACACCACCGGCGGAAGGGCGAGCCGTCAGGTCAAGAACACCTTCATGGACTGCATGTCCTCTTCGTCCTCGTCGGACGGGGAGGCTGTCCTGCCTCTGCGCCGAGCCCAGTCGTCGCCGACGTTGACGCTGGCGCTCCAGTCGTCGCCGACGTCGATGTGTGACGCTCTGTGACCACCTTTGAATTGGGTGAGTTATCTAGATGGTCTAGTGTTCGGGCAAAGTTGGTTGGTCGTGCGGGAACGCCCTGTCGCTGCGAGTGTGTACAGGTTGGATGTATCCTATCGCGTTCTTTGAGCAGAAGGCACGCCGGCAAGGTACTGTATGATGAATGCGATGTAGCTCTGCATTAACAGGCTGCCAGTCGTCCAGAGACTTTCTGCTCAAGAGCAAGGGCTTGGCGCTTGGCTCAATTCTGCACGATAGCGATCTTCCATGGATGCGCCATTCTTGTTCATTTTTACCGCTACAGCAGCGCTGCATTTTGTGCAGATCCGCTATTCTGGGCCTTTCTTTTGCCTGCGCAGCAGGAAGTGATCCTAAAAAAAGGATGTGTTCTTTCGCTTGCCTGTTTAATGTCGCCCCGCCGCCTCAATCCATTGACCTCCTTGACACCACCCGCCGTTTCCCTTCGCTCCCCCGACCCCCCCTCACCCGCTGAGCAGCACCTCGCGTCCGAGCGGCCTTACCTAGCTGCACGGCCACGTACGGTATCCCGACCGACCTTCGGCATTGTCCCGAAGGGCCGATGCCGGAAGCATTACAATCTGTCTGATTTTGCAGGGCTCCCCGAGCAGAATCACCGCTACATTAAGTAGCTCGCGCGCGCGCGGGTGCGGAGCTCCGTCTCACGCGCACCTCCCTGGAGCGGCTCAGTCCTTCTGGTGCGTTCGGGGCAACGTGAATTGGTAACGTGTTTGCACGCGGTGCTCCGAGGAGTTATCGGGCGACCTTCCATGGAGCACATGTAGGTGCGGTTTGCAGTATCGTCGCGAGTTCGCGCCGCAGCGGGGTAGCCCAATACACAGGGTTCCCCCGCGTTCATTTGGTGCGCGATTTCGCGACGAGGAGACCGCGGATCCACTGGCAGGGGGCGTTTCTTGGACGGCAGCTGGTCATGTCCAAGCTCGCCACACGTGGAGCATTTTTATCACGACACTTTATCACGCCGTCGAGTTTATTGAGCAGGCCGCGAGCTAAACTGCGTTTGATGTCGTTTTGCAGCAACTGCGAAACGAAGTCATAAGGAGGGACAACCGAAACAAAGCGAATACGGGAGACGCTGTTTGGCTCGCGCGCCTGATGAGCGCATCTCCGCCCCGCATGTCCACGTCCCCGTTCCATCATCGCAGTACTTTGTCTTACTGTCGCTCGCCCGAGCGACTCCTGGAGTAACTAGTCGCATGTAGCATCCCTGCGCTGTGGGTGCTGAGCTGCCCCATTTGCTGGACTGCCACATTTCAGTGAATATGTGATGTTTGAAGGCGATCTTGGAGCACATTACGTACATTTGAATCACAAAGAGGACCTCAGGATCGCTAGGCGATGTCAAACGTTCGTCAGTTATGGTAAAGCCGCTCCAGTCTAGAACTCAGGTCGCATGAATCACGCGGTCAACGGCTCGAATTCTCGAGGGGTCGCACATTCACATGATAAAGAAGGAAAAAGTCAGCCAGGTGGCATCGACAGGCTTGCGTGGGAGGCCGGCAGGGCTCATAGGCACCGCCACTGCTGCTCAGATGGGTGGCATGAAGGATCCAGCATTTTCGGTGTTGGTGGCTTGTTTCCAGCCCCAGAAGTATTAACAATCCCCGACCTTCACGGGTCACAGTTCACGTTCGATTGCCAGGTTGGGGGGCATAAAGGGAGTCCGTGCTGTTTGTTGTTGTTGTTGTTGAACATTATTACTTCTAAAGAATAATTATTGTTGGGACCCCTGGTGCACGACCCCCCTCCAAAACCTAGGCCGCAGCTACATTTTCATCATTTTTTCGCGAAAGCTTCAGAAAAGTGGATTATGCCAGATCCGGTTGTTTTGTTGTAATCCGTTTTCCCTTGCAAAAAACACTATAAAATGAAAATTCTTGTTCTTAGTTGATCAAATTTCCAGAATCCCTTGCAAAAAATAAGGGAAAGTGGACATTCGTGCGCGCAAGACGAAATCCTTCCAAAACCTTAGGTTTCGTAACGATTTTAACATAAAAACATCAAAAACCCAATGGTTTTTTAAGAAAAAATTGTCAAAATGTCCTTCCGCGCGCGCTGTCCGAATCCCACAAAACCAATGGTTTTTCAACATTTATGTTACATGAGCTCGCGCGAGCTACTTTTTCTTGTTCTAACATAATCAAATTTCAATAATCCCTTGCAAAAAATAAGGTAAAGTGGACATTCGCGCGCGCAAGACGAAATCCTTCCAGAACCTTAGGTTTCGTAACGATTTCAACATAAAAACATCAAAAACCCAATGGTTTTTCAAAAAAAAATGTCCAAATTTCATCCCGCGCGCGCTGTCCGACTCCCACAAAACCAATGGTTTTTCAACATTTATGTTACATGAGCTCGCGCGAGCTACTTTTTCTTGTTCTAACATAATCAAATTTCAATACTCCCTTGCAAAAAAAAGTAAAGTGGACATTCGCGCGCGCAAGACCAACAAAAAACACGACGATCTCAGGAACTTGCCCCAAAAATGTGACCAACTCCGCTCTCTCTGTCTCTCTCTCTGTCTGCTCTCTGTCTCTCTCTCTGTCTGTCTGTGTCATGTATTGTATGTCACAATTGCAGGATGCTGGGCACACGCGCGCCCCGAATAAGTGACCAAGTTCTGTGGGTGTGTACCCCACGCCAGTGTAGTAGCCACGGTCGTCCGCACGCCACGAAGTGAAGTGTCCCAACGTCATAGGGCGGGAAGCTGGGTTTGGGTGGTCGCGAAGAGTCGTTTGGATATTTGGTAGAGCTTGAACTGCCCCCCCACGAAGTGGGGGTATTGTCTCGCGTCGCATGAAAACCCTGGCACTGGTGAGAACACTGAGCGTTCGGGTAAAATGATTGTTGTTGTTGTTGTTGTTGTTGTTGTTGTTGTTGTTGTTGTTGAACATTATTACTTCTAAAGAATAATTATTGTTGGGCCCCTGGTGCACGACCCCCCCGCCGCGCCTAGGCCGCAGCCTCATTTTCATCATTTTCGTGAGGAAGTCTCAGGCAAAACGGGTTGGTCCGGATCCGGTTGTGTTGTTACGATCGGTTTTCCCTTGCAAAAAATAAGCTAAAGTGGACATTTCTTGTTCTAACATAACCAAACTTCAAGAATCCCTTGCAAAAAATAAGGTAAAGTGGACATTCGCGCGCGCAAGACGAAATCCTTCCAAAACCTCCCATCATCAAACCAATGGTTTTTCAAAAAAAAAATGTCAAAATTTCATCCCGCGCGCTCTTGCGGATTCGTAGGAAACCCAACACTTTTTAAACATTTCTGTCAAACGGGCTTTTGCGAGCAACTTTTTCGAACTTCTGCAACAACGGTTGCGCACCTGCCAGGGCCATCATCCCTGTCAAATAATACCATGCGGGACACATTCGTTTTTTCTTCGCGCGCGCACGCCGAAATCTTCAAAAACCATTGGGTTTCTTAAGAATTCTAGCACCGCGCAACATAAAATCATACGAATCGCACCGTAGGTCCTCGAAAAACATCTGTACGAATTTTCAAAATTTCTACCCGTAGTCACACAAGTCACTGTACCCATGCGCCAGTGTAGTAGCCACGGTCGTCCGCAGGCCACGAAGTGAAGTGTCCGAACGTCATAGGGCGGGAAGCTGGGTGTGGGTGGTGGCGAAGAGTCGTTTGGAAATGTGGTAGAGCTTGAACCGGCCCCCCCACAAAGTGGGGGTATTGGCGGGCGTCGTATGAAAACCCTGGCACTGGTGAGAACGGAGTGTCCCCACGTGCTAGTAATTGTTGTTGTTGTTGTTGCTGCTGCTGCTGTTGGTGTTGTTGTTGTTGTTGTTCTTCTTTGCCATACTATTTCCAGTTGGCAGTAAGTGTCTTGCATCTTGAAGACAATTCTTACGTTTCGCGTATCCCCACCAACCCATTAACAACGATACCCAGGCGAATTGTTTTGAGCAGGGAGTTGGGGGGGCATCCGGGACTCGGTGTTCTCGGGGGCGGTCTTGGGAGGCCGGGAGGCCACTTGGGGCCGTCTTGGCGCCATTTGTTTTGGGGGGGCCTGTGGGGGGCATGTTTCAAGCAGTGGCGAAGCGTCCTGACTTGCATACAGTCCTATTAAACAATGTTCTAAGACCTTCTTCTGTGGTTTCAACGATCTTAGAACATTTCTGCCTGGGACTGCCATGTTCTAACACATCGGGTTTATGCTTCAAGGACAGCGTTTTTGTTCTTAGAACACTTGTTGGTTCAAAGAACATCTCGTGGTAGGCCTATTGAACTGCCGGGACGGTCGGTCCCTGCTCAAGTTTGAGGCAATTCTTTGGACGCCCGACATGGGTACGGAAAGAATGGGTACAATGCCCAGCAGCAGTTCCTGTTCATTTTGAACAGGACTCGCTGTCCACGCCGCCGCGGCCTGTGTCCATTCGAGACAGGAGGCCGCCTGCCCAACAGCGGCCGCCGTTGGTTTGGGACAACATTTGTTGTCTTTCCGTGCCCATTTCGGGCGTCCAAACATCTTTCCACAACTTGGACCGTGTTGGGGCCATCTTGGAGGAGTTCTTCCGACGAGGGGTGAGCATTCGATCCGCTGCGCCCCTCCAGAGCCCTCGAAAAATCGACTCCCGGACCCCTCCTTGGAGCGTTCTCGGAGCCGCCTCGGGATGGTCTTGGGCTCCTCCCTGGGGCTCTTTCCTGGGCCTTCTTGGGGGCCATCTTGAGGCCTCGGAATAGGGGAACAAAAAGTGACATAATCAAAAAAACTCGGAGGTCCGCGCGGATTTCTCGGATCGGCGCTGGGGCCCCCTGGCGGCGCCTCCGGCGCCGCCCCTGGCGCGCTTGGCGATGGGAGTTTGTGAGAGGAACTCGTGTAAGGAATACAAATACGCGGGGGCCAACTGGCTCGGGGTCGCAAAATGTTGTTCGCTCGGCGGGTTCCCCAAACATGACCGTTTCGCCTGAGACATCCCCCAGACATTGAAAAGTTCGCGGAGCTGTGGCA